TTTATGATTTTTTGGAGATAAGGTGAGAGAGGACGAATGAGGGTAAGAGAAGACGAGATAGGCGAAAAAGAGTGAAAGAGAACGAAAGAGGGTGAGAAAGGACGTACGAGGGTGAAAGAGGTGAGAGAGAGTGAGAGAGGACGAAAGAGGGTGAGATAGGACAAAAGAGGGTGAAAGAGGGCGAAAGAGAGTGAGAGGGAATGAAAAAAGGTGAGACAGAATGAAAGAGGGTGAGACAGAATGAAAGAGGGTGAGAGAGGACGAAAGAGAGTGAAAGAGGACGAAATTGGATGAAAGAGGGCGAAAGAAGATGAAAGAGGACGAAAGAGGGTAAAGAGGACGAAAGAGGGTAAAAGAGGATGAGAGAGAATGAAAGAGAGTGAGAGAGGACAAAGGAGAGTGAAAGAGGACGAAAGAGGGTGAAAGAGGTCGAATCAGGGGTGAGAGAGAATGAAAGAGAGTGAGAGAGGACAAAGGAGAGTGAGAGGACGAAAGAGGGTGAGAGAGGGCAAAAGAGGGTGAAAGAAGACGAAACAGGGTGAAAGAGGGTGAGAGGGAATGAAAGAGGGTGAGAGAGAATGAAAGAGGGTAAAAGAGGACGAAAGAGGGTGAAAGAGGGCGAAAAAGGGTGAAAGAGGACGAAAGAGGGCGAAAGAGGACAAAAGAGGGCGAAAGAGGGTGAAAGAGGACGAAAGAGGGTGAAAGAGGACGAAAGGGGGTAAAAGAGGGTGAGAGAGGACGAAAGAAAGTGAGGTAGGACGAAAGAGGGTGAAAGAGGACGAAAGAGGGTGAGAGGACGAAAGAGGGTGAAAGAGAACGAAAGAGAGTGAAAGAGGACGAAAGGGGGTGAGAGGAAATGAAAGAGGGTGAAAGAGGGTGAGAGAGAATGAAAGAGGGTGAGAGAGGACGAAAGAGGGTGAAAGAGGCGAAAGATGGTGAAAGAGGACGAAAGAGGGTGAAAGAGGACGAAAGAGGACGAAAGAGGCGAAAGATGGTAAAAGAGGACGAAAGAGGGTGAAAGAGGACGAAAGAGGGTGAAAGAGGGTGAAAGGGGACAACAGAGGGTGAGAGAGAACGAAAAACTGAAAAATAGGACGAAAGAGGGTGGGAGTGGGGGGGGGTGGGGGCGGGGGGACGGGATGTGGGAGGAAAAGGGTGGGTGGAAGTTGAGGGAGGTGTGAGTGAAAGGTGAGAAGAGATTTATATATATATATATATATATAATCCTGATGACGTCAGCGGACGCGGATAGAGAAGAAGAAGAAGAAGACGACGTTACTTCATTTTTCATGAAAAACGTCACTTTTTGACCGCTTGTATCTCCAGAACGGCTTGACCGATTTTATTCCTTCTTGGCTCAAATTACTCGTGGCGATGCCGCCTTTCAGGTTATATTACGTGCAATTCAAAATTTTTATATTTTAGTAGTTCTACACCCCCAAAAAATGGACTTTGATGGTGCAGGATAAGGAGACTTGTAGTGTCTTTTAAGGTCTTTTAGGGTTTGAACATGGCCGGAGACACTACCGCGTTTCCTAATATTGTTACGTCCTCCGGACGTTCTTTCTCGCAAAAGACGTCTCTCGCACACACTTTCACTCACTCGCTGCTCGCGAAATAAATACACTCTCTTATGAAGAAATGATCCTTTATACAATGATGAAATACAATGACTAATGTACACGCGAAAGAAAGAAGATTGCTCTGTGGTCAAGTCACGTCCGTACGAGATGACAGCTAGACCAAAACTGTCATGGAGCCTGAAAACAACCACCGGGCGGTTGTCAATAAACAACCCCCCTTAACGATGAAGCTCCACGACACAAGGGATGATATTCAGGGGATGAAAGATCAGGGACGTAACACTGCCCCCCTTCTTCAAGATTGTCGTCCCGACAATCAAAAACAGAGGGCTATCCAACGCTGTACAATAACTCTGCATTCCGATGCCGACCTCAGGACTCCGACGAATTTTCTTGTTCTACCCTGGGCTCCTGCCACAGGTTACCAAACAATCCGCCATTCTGGATCCCGTCGCACATCCGTTGGACTATATTCGCCAATCCAAGTCCACAGTACAATTGTATCAATTGTCGATTCCAGGGCACCGACGAGTCTTCCTGCCCTACCCTGGGCTGCTGCCGCAGGTTACCGAGCGACTCCGTCAATTTGGTTCCAATCGACTTTCAAAATTCCTTGAAGATAAGTCCCAGTCTCCCTTCGTCCTCCGGTTCAGACAAGGGGGGGGTATCTTCCGTGGACCCATCGTCCCTCATGGACTCCCCAAGTCCCTGTCTTGGCATTTGCCCAAAGTCCCGCGGGAAAACCACGGATCAAAAACCGCGGGCAAGACAGTCTTCTTAGAGTAGAATAGAGACGGATGAAGATTTTCTCCCTCGAAGACTAAGCTGGGAGATCAATTTTTCCGCCATTCAGGAAACTCTTCTCAGGTCAAAGACAAATTTCTTTCCAAATTGAAGACTCTGTAACGAAAAATAAAATGCGCAGTAACTTATTCTATTTTTTTTAAATTAAAACATCCCCCCGAATTTTTAAATGAAAATCGACATTTTCGGGCTCCAATCTACTTAATTATTTTTCTAAACTTCTCTCGAGAAAAGGAGCTAATCTATCTGAATGTACAATTTTCCTCTTATGTCTAGACGATCTTTCTATGCAAAACACCACGTCACTAAGTTTTTTTACTATCCGGAATGGACCTTCCCAACTTCCTTGTAATTTCGGAGCTTTCCCTTTAACCCTACGAGGATTATAAAACCAAACCTTCTGTCCTACTTCGAAAAGAATTCCTCTGGCACTACGATCATAACGAATCTTCATCTGAGAAGATTTCAGATTCATTCGCTCTCTAACCGAATGAATTTCTTTTATTTTCTCTTTTAGATTTCTAGTAAAATTTTTTCTTGGAAGTCTTCCTTCAGAAGATTCAGGATTTCCTCGTAAAAGATCCACTGGTAACCTTAGTTCCCTACCAAAATATAGCTCTGCCGGAGTCACGCCAGTGGTTTCATGCTTCGAAGATCTGTAAGCTAAAAGAAACATGGGAATCCATCGATCCCAGTCTTTTTGATCTTCCGATACGTATTTCGCTAGGAAATTTGAAATAGTCTGATGTTGGCGTTCTACTTGTCCGTTAGATTGAGGATGCAAGGCGGTAGTTCTGGTTTTTCTTATCCCGAGTAATTTCATTAATTCTGAAAAAAGTTGTGATTCAAAATTCTTCCCTTGATCAGTGTGAACTTCACTTGGAATTCCATGCCTTGAGATAAATTGATTAACAAAGACTTCAGCGACCATTTTAGCTCTGATATTTTTAATAGGAAAAGCCTCCACCCATTTAGTGAAGCAATCTACGATAACAAGCAAATATTTGTTTCCGGATCTTGTCAAAGGAAGAGGACCAAGTATGTCCATCTGTATTCTCTCTAATGGAGCTCCAACGTTAAAAATTTGTAGAGGAGATTTCCCTTTTCCTGAAGGACCTTTTTTTGAAACACAGATTTTACAGGTTTTGCACCATTCCTCAACATCTTGTTTGCAGGTTGCCCAGAAGAATCGTTTTCGAATTTTTCCTAGAGTCTTATTGGCTCCGAAATGTCCTCCTGTTGGAGAATCATGCGTCTCCTCTAATATTTCCTTTATTCGTACTCGAGGAACCACGAGTTGGAGAAAATTTGATTTTAAATTTGGAGCTTCCCATTTTTTATAGAGGATCCCATTTTTCACAATCAAAGAATCCCAATACGACCAATATATTAGAGTTGAAATGTCCTCTCCGACTATTTCTGAGCGTGGGGGACGAATTTTTGTTTCCTTGGCACGAAGAATAAATGAAATGTCAGGATCTTGTCGTTGCATTTCACGCCAATTTTCCAAATTTTCGCCTTCGAACACAATACGAGAAACTGTTTGTTCCCTCTCCTCTGAATTTTTCTTTTCCACTTTTGCACAATATTGACAATTGTTTGATTCACAAAGTCTTCTAGACAATCCGTCAGCATTATTGTGAGAAATCCCTTTACGATAGATAATCTCAAACTCGTATTGCTGTAATCTCTCCATCCATCGAGCTAATTGACCTTCCAAATCTCTGAAAGATAAAAGCCATCGTAACGAAACATGATCCGTACGGATTAAAAACTTTTGTCCCAAAAGATAATGACGAAAAAATTTTATAGAATCTACTATCGCTAAAAGTTCCCGGCGAGTAACGCAATAGTTCCGTTCGGCTTTATTAAGCACACGACTAAAATAAGCAATTACTTTCTCTTCTCCATCTTGTTTCTGAGACAACACTGCACCGATTCCTATATTCGACGCGTCGGTATCTAATAAAAATTCTCCCTTTTCCCTTGGAAAAGAAAGAATTGGAGAAGAACATAATAAAAACTTTAACTTTTCAAAAGCTTTTTGACATTCATCTCCCCATATGTATTTAATTTGACCTTCTGTCAACATGTAAAGGGGTTTAGCTAAGGAAGAGAATCCTTTAACAAATTTACGATAATAAGAACAAAATCCCAGAAAACTTCGTAATTGTTTTTTTGTGTGAGGTATTGGCCAATCTTTAACAACGGAAATCTTATCGGGATCTGTAACAACGCCCTCCGCGGAAACCACATGACCCAAATATTTTACAGTTTTACTAAATAACACACATTTCTTCGGATTTATTTTTAAATTTGCTTCTCTTAATCGTAAAAATACTGTTCTAAGATTGTTTATCATTTCAGTAAAACTTTTCCCAAAAATTATCACATCATCCAAATAAACAAGGCAAATTTTTGATAATAAATTTTGTAAGACCTTTTCCATAAGGCGTTCAAATGTTGCAGGGGCGTTACACAACCCAAAGGGCATAATTGTAAATTGCCAAAGTCCTTTTCCTATTGAAAAAGCCGTTTTCTCTTTGTCTTCGGGACGGATCTTAATTTGCCAATACCCACTTTTAAGATCAAGAGTGGAAAACCAAGAATTACCTGTTAGCTGATCAAGAATGTCATCAATTCGGGGAAGGGGATAAGAATCCTTAATAGTCACCTCGTTTAATTTTCTATAATCAACACAGAACCTTATAGAACCGTCCTTCTTTTTAACCATGACAGCAGGAGAAACCCATGGACTATGTGACTCCTCAATTACTCCACGTGAACTCATATCTTCCAAAATCTTATCGACTTCTTCCCTCATTTGAATCGGAATCCTACGAGGAACCTGTTTTATGGGAGGAGAATCTCGCACATTTACATTATGTTCTACAACAGTACAATTTCCCGCAATAATGTTCTCAGAAAATAAATCATCAAATTCATTAAGAAAATCGACAAAACTTTCCTTTTCTATTTCAGTTAAATGTTGAGAATTCATTTCATAGAGTTCTTTCAAGGGGATTGGAACTTTTTTAAAAGAATCTTCAATTCTAGCTATTTCTTTTTCAAACGTCGGAATTCCAAAAGCCGAATCAAAGATTTTTTCCAAATTTACCATTTTTAGAAAATCTATTCCCAAAAGACATTCATCATTTATGTCTGCAATAAACATTGGAATTTTTAACGAATATTTCCCTAATTCGACTTTAACTTCTGCCCAAAATTCTACACAAACTTTTTCTCCGGTGGGATATCTTAAATTAACAAAATTCTTAGAAATCTTCCTTTTCTCTTTTTCAACGAATTTGCTATTTATTATGGAAACATCGGAGCCCGTGTCAACCTTGAAAGAACATACTTTATCATCTATTTTTCCTTTAAAAATGAAATAATCATTATCCTTAATTCTATTTACATTTAATATAACTTCCGAGGAATTTTTCACGGAAGCCAAACTCTCCCCGGTAAGCTCGGCTAAACCAAGTTTCCCTTCTCAATAGGACATTCGTACCGGAAATGTCCGATTTTCCCACACGTCCAACATTCTCTTTGGCCGGCGCTAAATTTGCTGCCTGGCCAATTTCCTTTTCCGTTCTTTTCTTTCTTATCTCTTTCATCCCGTTCGCCTTCTAATTTATTACCCTGCGCGTTCTTTTTTTCAATACTCGAAAAATTTTTATTAAAATTAAAATTTCCTCTCTTTCTTTCGTAACCCTCCCCTTGAATTATTTTTATGGCTTTTGCCCTTTCAATTGCCAAACTCAATGAGGTTATATTTTCTAATTGTAAAGTTCGTTTGACAAAATTATCATATATCGCTGAAATGAATTGCGCGCAGGCGATTTTATCTCGGATTTCGTGTGGGCACTCGGGATACGCAAGGCGAACCAATCTTTCAAGTTCCGAACCTAATGTTGCCAAATCTTCCCCAAACTTTTGTTTCCGATTTGTAAATTGAACGTAATAATTTTGTGATAAGAGTCCTTCTCCAAAACGCAATTCAAGTTTTGATTTTAATTCGTTGAATTCTAAATTGGACACGTCTTCTACCGTCTCTAATACTGAACGCGCTTTTCCCCTCAAATTCGAAGCGAGTGCAACAGTCTTTGTTGTATCATCCCAACTATTCGCTTGAGCAATTAAGTTAAACTGCGAGAAAAATTCACGAAGTGATACTGTCCCGTCATAAGTATCAGGTTTTAATTTGTACCCTAATATCGCGCGAAAATCGTTCTCCCTCTCATTTAAAAAATGCGTACCCGAATTTCCACACGTTCTATTATTAGAAGGACTTAGCTGTAGATTTTGTGGCCGGGAATGAATCTCCTTCAAGGCTAGAAGTTCCTCGTCGTGACGACGCAGCATCGCCGCAATTTCGTCCTCTCGACGAGTCTGTTCCTGTCGCATCTCTCGCATTTCAAGAAGGAGAACCCGAGCTGTAGATTCTGTTACCGCCGGTTCTCCTGCGACTTCCGGTAACGAGCCCGTTTGCTCTCCTGATTCCTCGCTGCCAGTCGTTCGAGACGGAGCTTGTGAACGGGTAATTCTCGGGGAATGTATCATTCTCGACGTTTCCGTTCCGCTGCGGTGAGATATTCCTTCGATCCGATCCCGGACGAGCCCCCAAAATGTTACGTCCTCCGGACGTTCTTTCTCGCAAAAGACGTCTCTCGCACACACTCTCACTCACTCGCGGCTCGCGAAATAAATACACTCTCTTATGAAGAAATGATCCTTTATACAATGATGAAATACAATGACTAATGTACACGCGAAAGAAAAAAGATTGCTCTCTGGTCAAGTCACGTCCGTACGAGATGACAGCTAGACCAAAACTGTCATGGAGCCTGAAAACAACCACCGGGCGGTTGTCAATAAACAACCCCCCTTAACGATGAAGCTCCACGACACAAGGGATGATATTCAGGGGATGAAAGATCAGGGACGTAACAATATATATATATATATATAATAAATAAATAAGAATACATAAAAAAGATAAAATCGATACAACCATACAAATACGAATAGATAATATATAAAAAAAATCAGTGGGGGTGACGGCGGTGTTAAGGCGGCAAGCGGTGGAGTATTATGACAACTGGACGGGACTCTTGCATAACATAGAAAAAGCAATATTAAGAAATTTTATGAATGTTTTTTCTTTAATTAATACTTACAATCTCGATTCCCTCGTATCTGACTCCTCAATTTTTTGGTCTGAATCTGTGTCATATTCTAATGGTTGCGATTTACATGACATTGATGGTGAAGGCATATCCATTCTACCAAAATAAAAATTCTCGGATTCATTGAAATAATCGACACAATTTTGGTAGCGACGCTGAAAACATGCAACTTGCTTGTGTCGTTTAGACTATCTGGTGCATTTAGATAAACCACCAACCATTCTTAAAATGTCTTCGTGAATTTCCAGGAAATCGGCAACATCTTTTGTATGCGATTTTTCACACCGAGTTCGCGATTTTTTAAATATTGAATGATCGTTAATTGCACAAATTTCTTGCTTTTTCAAAATTCGCACCTTTTTCTTTTTATAATGACTGTGGCGACTACTTAAACTATTATAGTCCGAGTCTGTCGAAATTGATAATGCTGATGATGATGATTCGTCCATGTCACTTTCAATCACTTTTTCAATAACTTCATTGTCTACTTTCATATCTTCACCATCTATTATAATTACATCTTTCTCATCTGGAACAATAATTTCATGTTCTTCCTCATCTGGGACAATAACAACTTTATCTTCTCTCTCCATTTAAGACACTTCTTCACTTCACAAATATCGTAGACCTTATGACATTGTGGACCCGCTCTCCATAAGTTTTAGCCCCTCTCAAAAAATTTTCACAAAGGACTATCATAGTGATAAAATTGGACTCTACCTGTTTAATTGTTCACAAATTCGAGCAGCCGAACGTTAGCGCCAATGTGTCGCAATAATAAAAAATAAAGAAGTTGTTTTCGCTTTCGTTTATGAGAGATTTTCCGCGAGGGTGCAAAGCTGCCAAACGTCAGCGCTGTTACTTGTACCGCCTATAAGTAACATTTTGACAGTTTGTCGCAGCGTTGGCGCTAAAATTTCAATGTTTTTCCGTATGTCATAATAAAATAAGTTTTATGGATTTTGTAGTGCTCGGTTTCAAATTCGGACTATCATAAATCACAAAGATAAACACTTGCGAACATGCTTGGGACCTCCCCCCCCCTACGGCATTCTTCCTCGCTTACGAAAACCCCCGCCCCCGCGTGTTGTCAGCCTTCTTGCGCCCTCAAGATACCCCCTCGCCCCGCACCCCCCTAAGAGGACTTTTGTTCGAATCCGCCTAGTATTCCTACTCACAGATCATCGTATCTTCGCATTATGACATGTCTTCGAGGGAAATTTTTTTTTCACTGACGCATGCAATTCGTTTACCAACTGCCGTCTCTCCAAACTATGTTAATGTATCCCCTTGTCCGATGGTCACTTGTTGTTCTTTTTACTATTCATTTTGGTTTTTTATCTAACGCTCGCGTTACATCCCCGTTCTTTATCTAACGCTTGCGTTTTTGCCTCGTTCTTCGCGTTAGATAGCCGTTCACTAACGTCTTTGACATATTCGAAAATCGCTCTTGACTCGATCGCAGCCTTGTTCCAAGTTTTTGACCCGTTCGTAGCCTTGTTCATAGTTGTTTCTGACCCGTTTGTAGTCCTCCCTAGCCAGTTCGCAGCCGTGCCTGAGATGATGGTAGCCTTGAATGTAGCCTGAAGGACTTGTTCGTAGCCTCGTTCGCAGCCCTTTTCCATGTGTTCGTAGCCTCGTTCGTAGCGGCTGATAGACCGTTAACCACCGGGTCGTCCACTGCTGAGTTGTTCACTGCTGGTTCCGAGTCGTTTACTGTCGCTCATTGTAGAATAGTAGCACGATGCTAATCCTTTGTAGCTGTTTAACAACTGTTTGTAACCACTCAAGAATCCCTTCTAGCCGTTTCACAACTGTTTGATAGACGTTTCTGAGCCGTTCATAACCGCTCATTAGGTAGCTGTCATAGCTGTTTCTGAGGTAGGCAGGTTTATCGCAGTCTCCAACGCTCGTACAACTAACAACTAATGTGCAATTGCTATAACTAGCAAAACGTATGTACATTCCATACTTTAAAGGTGTTTTATGCACAATAATTTACCAATAAATGGCGCGCGAGAAAATGCGAGTGGTATCATCAATCTGGATGACACAAATGGTCCTGGCATTCATTTGGTAGCGTATGCAAAAAGGGGAAATCGCGCTATCCATTTCGACAGTTTTGGCAATCTTCGACCACCCAAAGAATTGGTGCAACATTTAAATGTATCAAAATTGGAATATATTCACACTTCTTATCAAACTTATGATCTGAGCATCTGTGGACAATTGTGCTTGCAGTTTCTCCGAGAAAGTAAATTCTCACGTGAATTTAAAGACTGACATTGCGCTATTTAACTCAGTATTCGCTCAACAGTTTTGTCAACATGTTGCTAACATTAACAGTGATTGGGAAGAGTATCGTCCTCGCGGTAAATTACTTTCCCCCCATAGATTTGAGCGATGCGGACTACGAGCTCGGTCAAGTGGATTTTGAAACTTATTACATTATATCGAATGTGAATTCTTCGAATAATAAATTTTACTTTGGCAAAGACGACGCGGAAATTACAATTTCCGAGGGATCGTACGAGCTGCAAGCGATACATGAGTCTTTGAAACGTGTACTTTCACGGAAACATGCTGTTCGTGATAGAGTTGCCGACGGTGACTTTGAAGATTATCCGATAGTGCTCCGCGCTAATTACAATACGATGAGAAGCGAGATCAAATGTGCCTATAAAATAAACTTCAGCA